AGAGAGAGAGAGAGAGAGAGAGAGAGAGAGAGAGAGAGAGAAATTGTTAGTGGGATATGCACCAAACTATTAATAGCATTGTTTTGGAATAGTAGAATTATAAGTGAAGATTACTTTCAAACTTAACATAATTCTTTAATATTAATTATATGATTTCTACATGCTATTTTTATATTATTAAAAGTCATATGTACAGGGCTGGAGATTTAGCTCAGTGGCACTGTGCCTGCCTTGCAAGTGCAAAGTCCTAAGTTCGACCCCTGACACCAAAAAATAAATGAGGAGTACACTGTTTTTAAAGCTTAGAATATAAGGGCCAGGGATTTATCTTAGTGGTTCCACTGCCTGCCTTGCAAGCCCAGAGACCCAAGTTCAATCCCCAGTACCAAAAAAAAAAGTTTAGAAAATATTATTAAAATATTGTTTTCCATAAATATCACTACTTATAAATTTAAATTTACCATTATTATTCTTTTGGTTATGTTTCTTCTTTTTTGTTTTGTTTTGTTTTGTTTTGGTACCAGAGATTGAACTCGGAATCTTACGCTTGCAAGGCAGGCAGCGGAACCACTGAGCTAAATCCCCGGCCCTGTTTCATCTTTTTTGAAACATTTATGTAAATTTTGCATAAGTAAGGATAAATGAACCATCTAAGTTATGTACTACATATACTTTTATCACTTTTTTCAGTTAATTTTCTGTGATTGGATACATCAGAAAAAAAATACAATGAATATAATCCTAATGATTACCTAATTTTTGTTACACAGCTTTGCCTTATTTTGCTTAACATTTTACTTTTGGAAATGAATATTATTCTCAGTTTTTTTGGTTTTGGTTTTGATTTTTTGTTCTCAGTTTTTGAAGATTATCAATAATTTTCTATTTAACATCTTGTTAGGTAAATCTTAGTGATAGATCACATTTCCTTAGAATAAATTCCAGAAATAAAATCACTTGCCTACAGTGTTTTGAACATTTTTAAAGTTCTTGATATATTTCCAATTTTGTTGGTGTCTATACCAATTAGTAACATATAGTTCTGTTAATCTAAAGTATCTATTGTTAAATGATAAGAGAAAAATATCAGAGAGTTTTTTATTCATTTAATTACTGACATAGAACTTTAAGATTATATAATGATTGGGATAAGTGATTCATAAAGAAAGCATAGATATCCAGTAAATATATGAAAGATATGAACCTCACTAGCAATTAATGACATGCAGAGCAAAATAATACACTAAAATATATCCCCTGCATGTGCAAGGTCCTAAATTAATCTGTAGTACTGAAAAAAAGAGAATGATCTGTGGCTGGATGGCTCACACCTTTACAAAGTGTCAAACAGGGTAAAAATAAAAACTGTCAGTATTGTTTCAGATTTCTATTTCAAATAAATAATATATTATTTGTGTGTCTGCTTTTTCTCTGTAAAATGTATTTTTCACTGTGGTTTATGGTAAAATACTTGAGAAATACTGTTGTTTAGCTTAAGTTTTTCATATAAAAATGATACAAATAATACTGTAAAAATGGAAATTTATATAGATATGAGAAAGTCTAAGTATAAAGTAGCAGTATTCCATTTCAAATACAGATGTGGATATTTAACTGGGAATATACACAAAGAAAAGAGTGAATTTATACCAAAATGTGAATAATGATTATGTCTAAGAGGGGTATAGCCTTTTAACTATTTTTTATATTCTAGTTACTTAAACAGAAAACTTATAATCTTAAAAAATACGAAATTATGAAAAATGGAAGAGTAGTTTACATAATATGTAACAACATATTAGTCATATAAACTAATAAGAACACTAAAACTTCTAATGGTAAGTGGACATAAGACAGGAAAAGATAACAAACTAAGATATTCAAGTGGATAATAAATGTGGAAAATTATTAAGTATAACTTTAATTTTCTCTTTATATTATACAGAGAAGGACAAGCCATTATTTTTGTCATTGATAGTAGTGATAAATTAAGAATGGTTGTGGCTAAAGAAGAACTTGATACTCTTCTGAATCATCCAGGTATATATATATGATGTCTTTTAGCCTGTGGTGTCTGCCTTGGATATTTTTCATATGAGACATTGTTTCTTAGGAATCAATAAAGAATGTTGTTCTTTCTCCTATTTAAAATTTTTGAATTTTATAACTTAGCTATGCAAAACTTATAATAAACAACTTGCCTATATTACCATATTTTTAAATATTGAAGCTTTTTACAATTTTTTTCTAGCATTTATTTCCTCAAAAATAAAAATTTTCTTTTCTCCTGATTATATGAAAATATGTGCCAGTAGGAAAAAATATTTCAGATGGAAAAATAAGGAAGGCAGCAAAAGTCTGTATACTTCAAGACCTGTTAAAATTATCTTAGTCACTGTCTTTTCATGTGCTTTTTCATGTGTATCTAAATGTGTATGTGTGTGTTATCACAGCATTTCTTACATGTTTACTGTAGGAATTCTTCTAAAACAGATCTTTTTGTTTTTAATTTCCAACTGTCAACTCCCTGTTGATGTTTTTCACCAAACTAGTTTTAATAAGTCAGTGTTTTTTTTTCATATTTTAAAATTTGCCATAGCATACACATATAAACTTACATAGGCAGATAATAACAATAATTATTGAGCTAAAGGGGTAGGGGTTCTATCATTATTTTATATCAAAATATGACCATATTTTTTACACTCTTCTTCATCTTCCAATGCTATGTGATGGAAGTACTTTCAGATCAAATTGCATATAATTATGTAATTATTCTTCTTACTGCCTCCTAATATTCTGTCCTGTGTGCATACACTGTTCAGTTTTTCCCCCTACCTCCCCTACAGACTATGCTGCAGTGAGTATTATGGAACTCTTCATTTCTAGTTTTATTCATGGCAAAAAGATTTTAACTACTCTTTATACTAGGACTTTTAGAAAAGGATGATAGTTGAAAAGAACTGTAGCTTTGTTAAAAATGAAATAAAATTTAGTATAAGGCTTTCTAATAATTCAGCCTGCTTGACTGTATATATCTTCAGTGTTTTTTATCTGACAATCTCGAATTTTTGAGAAAAACTGTACTGCCTGTACTTTTTATGTGACTCATTTCAAAGCTTATCAGTCTTATTGGGTCTAAGTTGAGAATGGATTTTTGAATTTGCCTTTTTAAAATCTATCTTGCTACTTTCGCATAAAATGTTAGAATGTTGACCAATATATTGAAATAGTTTCTACCAGAACTGCTTCAAATACGATGGGAACCTTGATTTCCTTAATGAGGAAATTTTCCATGTATTCTATATGTACTAATATGGAACACAAGATATGAACTAAGTGAAAAAGTAAATGCATTAAATAAGATATTGACATGCTGGTTGTATGAATAATGGCATTTTAATAATTTTATCTAGAAATACATATGTTTAAAATGATGGGAAGCGAATTAGACAAGATGAGCAAGGCTCCCCCTCCCAAGCTGAAAAAATTTATGGACAAATTATCGTTGAAATTAAATGGTGGCAGACATGTCCAAGGAATATAGTGAGGATTTGATCCCTTTATGAATCTTGTGATAGATGAATGTGTGGAGATGGCAACTAGTGGGCAACAGAACAATATTGGAATGGTGGTAATACGAGGAAATGGTATCATCATGTTGGAAGCCTTAGAACGAGTTTAAATAGTAACTGCTCAGCAGAGAAATCCATTCCCTGCCTCAGAGCCCTAGCTGTGACTAAAAATTGGGTCATAACATTTTCATACTAAATTTTTTGTTAAACTTTTGTAAGTCAAAAATTCTTCCTCAAATGTTCTGAGTACACAAATGGAAATAAAATAAAATAAGATAAAATGATGGGAAGACATTGATGATAATGGATAACCTTTTCTTTGGAGGATAGTCGGCCAGAGACACAGATACAAAGGAGACTCTTTAGTATATACCATTTTGTGTCTTGTGAATTTTGAACTAGTTAGATGTTTTATCTTAAAAAAAAATGATTCAGGGCTAAAATATTTCAACATCTACCTTATTTCTAGATCTGTGACTAAAAACTAAAATCAGAATCCACTTTCTCTTCTTTATACTTGTACTTGAAGTTCGCTTCTTATGTGTTCACATGAGAAACAAAGCAAGCAAGATGGTTGACTTTATATAGGTGCTTCTCTATAACTACTTATTGAGCCTCCTTCTGTGGCCTCATACATCTTGTGCTTAATGCTCTGAACTACAGTGACAATAACTTGAAGAAAAAATATTTTATAATTTTCCTTATTGCCCAAATACATGCTTGACATATGTGTTTTTAAATGTTATATATGACATACAAAGAAATAATTGTGAAACAATGTATTTTATTTCTGTTTTAAGTATTTGAGGCAAAGTGTTCCAAAAAGTTGGAAGTATGATGATAATCTTATTTTTTTCTTTTAGATATTAAACATCGTCGAATTCCAATTTTATTCTTTGCAAATAAAATGGATCTTAGAGATGCAGTGACATCTGTAAAAGTGTCTCAGTTGCTGTGCTTAGAGAACATCAAAGATAAACCATGGCATATTTGGTAAAGTTTTATATTTACTTTTAATTTCATCTTTCTGAAAATTCTCGTTTGTTTTTGGGGTTTTGTTTTTTTTCCTCATTATAGGTGGGCAAACATAGATTGTAAGCTACGGGTCTTGTTTTATAGAATGATGGCATTTCTGGTATCCCTTAATATATTAATTAAAAATCTCTTTGGGGATAGAAAAATGTGAACTGTTAGAATAATTTATATAATCCACTTATTCCTCCATCTTCAGTTAACACTGATTTCCTTGTGCATATGGAATCAGCCAAGCACAGTCCCATCTCAGGCATCTGTACATGGGCCCCACCTTGTCTGAATCTTCTTCAAAATATTTTCTTGTTATGGTGCTTCCTTGGGACTGCCTCTATTACCATGTGACCACTTTTTGTTTGTTTGCTTTGTTTATAGTCTATCTTTCTGTACTAAAATGTTAATCCCTGAGAGGTGGAATTTCAGCAGTGTTTTTCTTCCCCCCACTTATATAACCTCTGCACTAGTGATTGCACTTGGTACATAATAGGTACATAATAGGTACATAATAATTTTGCCAAAATAATCAGTAAAATTAATTTTATTTCTCTTGCTAATGTTAAAGTCTTACTGTCTGAAATTACTAATTATTGTTTATTTGGAACAGTTTCTTACTAATATATTTAACTCCAGTGTTCTTGTCTACCAAAATATATCAACAAGGATAACTATAGATTATATATTAAATAGTGTTTCAGTGCCTACGTTAGTAAGCTCCCTTCTGCCTACCACCTACCTATCTTTCCTTATTGCAGAATATCATCCTCTTATCAAAAGCTTTTCCTTTCCATAGAAATTACAGTAACTAAGGGAGAAGGTTGGACACAGAAGCAGGAAAAATCCCCTGCCTCTTCAAGAGGAAATAAAATATAAAGCCAGAAGATAGTACAGATCAGTAAAGAACTTTATGTGCTGGTCTCAGTCCTGAAAGAGCAATAATAGAGTAGAGCTCAAGGAAATGCTTGAAATTTCCCAGTACTATAGGCCTCCTCTACCTCCATTCAGGTTTGAAAACTATCTTGAGTAAAGCTTTCCTTACTTTGGAATCAGAGGAAAAGTCAGTGTTTAGAAATGATTCTTGAATTGGAATTTGAGGTTTTGTGTTATTTGCGTGGCAAAGAGAAGTAGGGTTTTGAATACAGAAACATGTTGAGATAGAACCTTTGTACTGTATTTCCCTAAGTCATGACTAAATTGTTGGTAAAGTAAAATAATTTTTAATCTTGCATTGTACTGAATATTTCAAATTGTTTGTTAGAATCACATTGACAAGTGTGGAGATCCTTTAATTTTTTTTATTAGTACATGTTTGCAGTACATGCAATTTACAGTCATCTTGGGGAGTGAGTACATGTACATAATATATCTTTTTTTAATCCCCTTCCCTTCCCCCTCCCTCTCTTGTCATGTAATTCTCCTTTCCCCATTTTCATTTTACTTATATTTTTTATATTAGCTCATGTTTATGGCATATTCCTGTATATGGCATATCTTTATCCTTACTGTAGGATATCATCCCTTTGTCTCCCTTTCTCCCTCACCCTCGCCCCTCAAAAAAAACCCTGTTTTACTTAAAATTATTAATAGTTGAGTTTTAATAAGTTTAATTATATCTAAATATTTCTCTGCTAGAGAAAAAGTAATATACTGATGCTAATAGAACATATGAAATGTAATGCTATTTTCTATACAACTTGCCAAAGAATACCAAGAATTTATTTCAAATTTTTCTAGAGTTTCAGCTTCTCCTTAATTCAAACTGGACATCTCTTTTCTAAATTTAAATTAGTATGTCACATATTAGCTTCGTTATTTTTGCAATTTTTCAAAACATGTAAAATTTGGAAGCATATTATCCTTTTCCAGTTTTACATATAAAAATAATGCTCAGTGACACAGAAGTAAAATATTGCTGTTCCGTATGTTAGATGTAAGGTTATGGGCAATAAGTCATAGAAAAAGTTATGAAAAAGATTTGGAGAATTAAAGGAAAACTTTCGTGGTTTCTTTTAACCCGCTATATTAAACATATAGTCAACTCTTGATTTTTAGAGCCTAATTGTGTTACTGTTCTTCCTGTGTGTTCTTTCACTCAATCCCTAGTATGGTGTGCACGTGCGTGCGTGTGTGTGTTTATTTATTGCAGAAACAAATAGTAAATAAATATATAAAATGTCAGCTGGGAGGATGAAGAGAAATAAATAGGATAAGAGAATAATTTTTTTCCTTTTTTTGGTACCGGGGATTGAACTCAGGTCCTTGCACTTGCAAAGCAGGTGGCAGCACAGCTGAGTTAAATCCCTGGCCCCAAGAGAAAGAATATTGAAAGACATTTCCACTCTAAGCCCTAATTGACATCAGGGAGCAATTAATGTTAAAATTTGGAGAAATAACTGTCCAAATTGATAGGCCAGGAAGAAAACATTTTTCTTGGATAAGAGGGTCCCTGGTGTCTTTCAGGAACAGCACAGATTCCAGGATGGCTGGATGGAGCTCCCTAGGGAGAAATATCAGATAAGGCCATTGAGAAATAATTAAGAGCTGTAGAATATAGAGCATTCTAGGAAATGGTAAAGGCATTGGCTTTTGCTCTAGTTATAATTTTTTTATTTATTTAAGAGAAAAGAAGAAAGATAGAATTCAAATATTTGGAACCTGTTAGGAAAAAATGCAGTTTTTAGAATAGTGACACCTTTGTCAAGGGGAAAGGATTTCTTCATTATATTGTTTGGGACTGTGTGTTTGATAAATCATTAGCTTGCCCTTTCTTGATGTAAGTAATTGAGTTACTGATGTTTTGCTATTGCTGTGAGTTCAAGACCAGCCTGGGCTACATAGTGAGTTCCAGGTCAGTCTCAACTACAAAGTGACACCCTGTCTCAAA